TTGTAGATAACATCGGAGCTTCAAAGGAGCGGAAAGTGAGGGTGACACCGGACGACGCTTGGTGTGCGTGTTCACCCTGGTCTCATCGAGACAAAGAATTTCTGTACAGAGGCGACGGCGACACCGTATGCTGGCTGCAAGACACCGGGCGTCGACCCTGATCCAGTGTGTGGCTACCGTAGACAACGGTGCACAGTTATACACCCTCGTCAACGGTATGACGGGGAGGAAGATGGCGACGTCTGTCTCGAGGTTATTCCTGCAATAGATGCTCTACCTGGGCTGTCCGAGATTTCCCTTGAAGACAGGCTATTTGGCCGAAGTGGTCATTGTACGACCGGACGAGGAGATTTACTCGTCATCGCTTCTGGATGAAGCTGTCTTCGAAGACACCTAGAGAGTGCTGAACGCACGGAGTGGATCGTCGATCCAACGGAATCCCTTGGATCCGTATTATTCTTTGGAAAAGGAATTTCAAGATGTCGTCTACAAAGACCCGCCTTCGATCCTACCTCCAGACCGAGGTGTGCGTCATGAGATCAACCTGATTCCGGGAACCAAATACTGCGTTATACGCTAATGGCCCCTGCCCAAGGAGTAGTGCGACGTCATCGACGCCTTTTTCCGTGCGAATTCGACGCAGGAATGGTGCCTGAGAGCGAGCCTCCCCATTCAACACCCACGTTTTGTGTTCGGATGCCGAACGGCAAGCGGTGTATCGTTCACTTTTACAATAAGCTCAACGCACCATTCCGGCACATACGCCAATTCCTAGAAAGGATGTTCTTCAAAACAACATGATGGGATGTACAGAGTACAGTGCACTCGATTTGGTGGATGAATACTACCAATTGCCCATGAGAGCGAGTGACATTCCGCTGACAGCGGTAAGCACTTCGAGCGGCATGCTCTGGGAGTGGCTGGTCATGCCCCAGAGCTGTCAAATGCACCAGCAAGATTTAATCGTCTTGTGACGCAGTTGATCAGGCCCCACAAGGCGTATGCCCAGACATACTTTGACGACATTTTCGCTCATGGTCGTGCGGAGCACGGGAGGACGGATGAGGAGAACCAGATTGTCCATCTAAGAGCTGTGCTCGAGTGCATGCGCATGAACCAACGGTATGCCGATGCAGACAAGTGCATCTTTGGCGCAGAAGAGATTCCATTATTAGGTTGCTTCATTGGAAAGCGTGACCTTCGAACGGATCCCGCTAAGGTTAAGACCATTGTAGATTGGCCGGTTCCAAAGAACCAGGGGAAATTGCGTAAGTGGCTTGGTCTT